CGCCGTCGGAATCGAGCTCTGCTGGCTCGGCCGCCGGCGGGGCTGCTTTAGCCGAGCGGTGTGGGACCTGGTGCGCGCGTGGCCCTGCTCCAGGGAGGAGGCGGCGCACCACCTGCGGTTCTGTTGTGGCGGCCTATTCCTGGTGCTGGCAGTGCTGGTGATACTGGTGCCACCCGCCTTCGGCCTGCAGGGACACCAACGGGACGTCTGGGATGGCCAGGAATGGTCTAGGATGGGCGCCCCGGCCCGATATACAGAGACGGAGGAAGCGTCCGCTGGCGTCCCGACTGGCCGGCGGCTCGACGGAGACCCTGCGGTCGAGGCCGTCACGTCGGTAGCGTGTTGTTTGTGTACTGCTTGTGTTGTATTGATGTAGTTATCGCCCAAATAAATATCGGCTTGTTATAAAAAAAAGAGTAGCAGCGTGCATGGTGCACTAATCCAGGCGCATAAACGCACATGCTGATCATAGGGCGTCACCTGCTGCACGCACCATGCGGCATACATAATGCATGTCAGAGCTCCGGAGTGCAACATTCCGCACTAATGCGCATTACGCATGTCCACTCCAACTGTGCACTATCTTTGCACGGTGTTCCGACTCTCCCCGTGTCATAATGCCTCTCAGATGTTGCAAGCACTCAGACACGACGTCTCACACCTCGAATCATTCACGACATCTCTGTATCACCCGCATCGACACCTTGCCGTCCGCTGAACGTGTTTTCACACCATATGGTATGTGACCAGAATCCTCTCAGGCGGCTATATCACCGTCTGGCGACGCCTCAGTGGCACTGATATAGCCGGTAACTGCATTACCGACCGGTAACAATAACACACGGTCTGTGCGGCGCTGACCGGCGCGGCGGCGGCGGACGGCGCACGGGCACATACGGCTGGGTAATGCCGACGTATACACCGGAGTACCAGCTCCACCTTCATCCCCTAATCCCATAATGTAATCATGGTCCCAGCATCGATCTCAGGGAGTATCGGGCGTGCCTCGACCTCGCGGGCTCCTCTTCTCTTCCTGGTCCTCCTTCCGCTCTCTCCCTCCTCCTCCTCCAAACCAGCCGCTGTCGCAGCCCCCCAAACCGAGCGGCGTGTCGGATTTTTCCGCAGCTCCGTCCCTGGGTCGTTGCCGACGTAGCCTGGGGACTGCCGTCGTCGGCATCGACAAGTTTCGAAATGAATTACGTGCGCGGCGGCAGATGTGTATGATTGCCGATGATAAAACTACATATCCAGGTCTCGGGCTACGACCGATTGGCGGCAGCAGCTGGCGGACGTGCTGCCTTATGAAGCCGGCCCTGACGGATTGGCTGCCCGACGGTCTGCAGTGGGGGAGCGGCCGAGAGTCAGAGTCAGAGCCAGTCAGAGTCGGAGTAGGAATCTGTCTGGGAAGGGTTCTTGGCTGTTCTTGGTCTGCAGTGGGGGAGCGGCCGAGAGTCAGAGTCAGAGCCAGTCAGAGTCGGAGTAGGAGTCTGTCTGGGAAGGGTTCGTGGCTGCCGGACCGTCTGCAGTGGGGAGCGGCAGAGAGTCAAAGTGGGAGTAGGAGTAGGAGTAGGAGTAGGAGTAGGAATAGGAGTCTGGCTGGAAAGGGTTCCACAACGATGTGGATAGAGGGCAGATCGCTTGGTGTAGTGATTGATGCAAGGGCAACATTAGAAAGCAATGCTATATGATTAAAACTATACTCTGCATATTCTGCTCATTAAATGAAATGTAACTTTATCCGCTTGGTATCTGGCTTACATTCTGCGAATGGTAGCTTTATTGCAGACCACTTCTTGGAACCAAAGCTTGTTCGGAATATTTTGAATATTCTGCTATCGTTAAAACGACAATTACCCGCTGAACATTATAATACGAATCAAACTACTAACTAGCGCTTTTAAACCGTCATGAAATTTATTTTCGTATGATTTTTATTCTTAGAACTCATAAATACAAGAATGTTGTGACCGATTTTGCTCAGATGGGAGTTGCATAGTAGCATCCAATCTATAACGGTCTGCAAGCCTTTTACTTGTTGTAGCATCTTGTGCTTCAGATCTTACGGGCATAAAGTGGTATGCATCCTCTGTTTCGTGCATTGCTTCATTGTAACATATACCTACGTATCGAGAAAGCCACTTGTGTGTCACACTTTTCCTCTCACCTCCTTTCACCGAGAACCCGATCGGGTAAATGGGAAGGTGCCAGCCCAGTCAGCTGGCGGTCCCGGGCAGACCTGCAATGGAACGCTGCCGTAATACGCGACCTAATTTGATTACGGCACACGCCGAAGCGCCCGAGTGGCAGACAAAAACGGCGCAGCTGAGTCGTTTTTCGCCGCTGCCCGACCGCCGATGGGCCCGAGGGGTAATTGTCGGCGAGCTTTGGCAGCCCCAAGTAGCTCCGGCGGCTGCCGCCCGGGGAGCGAAGGAGAAAGAAAAGCATTAGCCGGCTCGGCTGAGCCGTGCGAAGACGGGTTTTTGTCACATATGGCTGCACTGGGAGATAATCACGGCGGCGCGACTCCCTTTGTTTCTGGTTGCGTCTATTTGTGCGTTGTGGGTGGTTTCTGCGTCGTATCTTTTCACAACAAACCGCTGTGACTCTTGTACTTCGGAGGCGGAGTGAGAAGTTTCTTCCTCTCTAGCTCCTGTTTGAATCGAGTCCCTATTTTTGCATCTCGATCTAACTGGGAGACAGTGTAATCCCGGTGGATTGATTGCCACTAATTGAGGTTGGCGTGCCCGTCCCGGGTAATAATTGGAAGCTCTGCCGACCTAGCGGGTCGCCTATTGGGCCGTCACCTTCTCCATATACCGGGCTTCGTTTGCAACGGAGAATCCTTCCGACCAAGAAGTCCGACGACAAAGAATCCTTTCTTTGGAACATAACTGCGTCGGTGATGTGACGAAACTGCAGGAGGGGATGACGGCAGTCGTTAGGTCAGAAGTCAAACGTGCCGAAATCATCCAGCATTCTCTGGCGAGAGGATCACAGAGGCCATTCGGATTTATCGGCAATGGCTCCCGGGGAGCCGGCAGTGCCGGTCTAACTGTGAATGATTTAGCGGATCGGCGCCGAAACGGCGGTGCCGAAAATGAAAACAATAAAAGGCACTCGTAAAATATCGAGATGTGTTAAATTGGAGAGGCAGCTGTCGCTGATCGGGCCCGGTATTGCTCGTGTCTGTAACGAGGCTGTTTTTGACGCTCAGCGAGAAGCAGTTATACTGAAGTCGCGCCTCTGAAATCGGGACAAGACGCCGCGTCGGACACGACCAAATCTTAAGTCATGGCTATTGGCGTCGTCTGACCGAGGCCTGAGAAGAATTCAGGCGAGGTGCGGTTCTGTGTAGGAGCGAATTGTAGAAAGGGCTGAGCTGAGTATAGAGACCCTTAGGCACGAACTCATCTGAATAGAACTTTCTGGAGGAGCCTGGCCGATGAGCTTTTGTAAGAATTCCTGACCTGTCCGGATTTTGTCTGACATGTCCTCAACTCGCATATACCATACCCATCTATGAAATTCAACCACTGTTTCTCTTTGACCAGTCCTGTGTCTTTGGTATAAAATGTTACCCGATATCTTCTATAGCCATGAGAGATGCACTTGACATCCAGCGGAACCGAACAGCTGGAGCGGCAGTCAAACGGCATCCGATTCAGGCTCGGCTCTGCAGCGTTGGCGGCGATTCCAGTGTCCTGGCCTGCGCCAAGTTCGGCAGAAGTTGTCGTCCGACTGTCGCCGTGACCCGGCTGGCCCGCGACATCTGGAACTGTCACTCTGAGGGTGGCGTCTGTCATATATTCACGCGAGTGACGCTTGCAGTCGCCACAAATGGACCAATGGGAACTGGGAATTTTGTGCAGCGAGGCTATCTAGTGCAATTGACCTGTGCTGAATTTATGCGGGATTTTGATGAATAAAACATAGATGATGAGGTTTATATAAAAGAACCTTTCGCTCAAATATCATTTCGCACGCGTTTGCATGTTTAAGTCACATATTTCCTCTTTTTTAACATAGCTTTCGTCAAACCTACAGCCTGGGATCTCGATATGCATTATGTCTATCTGTTTCTTTCAAGATGTCAGTACATGACTTTTGGGGCAAGAACCTATACATTCTACCTCAACATCCCGGCCCATCATCAGTCCGGTCCGGTGGATATGACGCGCCCTGTTGACCTCAACCACGCCACAAGCTGCCACAGCTTGGCGACTGAGGTGCAGCTCAGCCGCCGCCGCCGCCGATAACCCCAGTTAGTCGCCGCCCCCGCCGCCCTGATTATCCATGCAGTGTGCGTGTCCCGGGCCCAAATCTGGCGCCAGATAAGGTTGCGTGGCACGCGACGCGGGGAGTTTACGCGCCGGAGCGGCCCGACCCCAGCTGGGTCTGACAAAACGCCCGCCCCCACCGCCCGTCCCAGCTATCTCTATCACAAGAATGCATTTAAATCGGCTCGTTGAACCGATTTAATCGATGGAATGGAAACGCCCCACGATGCGTTCATTGTCGCATCGGCGACTAATAGCGTCTCTACGGGGTCGGTCTGGCCGGCCCGTCGAATTTTAAAAGTGTCAATGCATTGTTTACGTCAAGGGATTTGTGAAAGCGTTGTTTCCCATTCTTTGTAAAAGAGTGGGGAGAAAAGGGGAACACTCAAGAATAGCGAGAAGTGTGATTAGGACCCCAGTGAGAGTCAGCTAAAAACGTTTCGTTGGACGGAGAAATGGCATTTATCACAATTTACCGGAGAATAAAACAAGTAACCCTGACAAATCACAGTCGACGGAAATTGCAAAACATCATCGGTAACGATTGTCTGTGCAACAAAAGTCTAAATCATTTTTAGTGATATTAGTTGGGAAATGTTCCAACAAAGGCACGATTGACACTTGCGGGAGCGCAAGCGACGATTTTGTTTCTCCACATCATGCCTACTGGTTTGATCATGGCACCATGACTGCCTTGGACTGACCCTTTCCTTCGTTCCTCAGGTGCGCGTGCTGCTGCGGGTGCGGAAGTCGCAGCCGTCGTCCCACTTCAGCGTGGACCCGCGGAAGAAGCAGGTGACCCTGTTCGACCCAGCGGCAGCGGCCGCCGCGAACTCGGCGCCCGAAGGACGTCGACTCGGCGTGGCCGCGCCCAAGATGTTCGCCTTTGACGGCGTCTACGACTTTGACGACCCACAGGTAGGTGTCTCTGGAATGAGTGGGGAGGACTCATCCATTTATTTCAAGGTATAAACAGATGTTAACGTAACATTTGTTTCAAATTTGCTGAAGGATTATAATATTGAATAACCGTTTTGAGCTATTTATAAGGCCAATTTATTGCATTCCATCACTCAGCACCGTTATACTCGTATCATCGATTTCGGTGTCACCACCCCGGATTGATTTTAGCGACGCGCGCTGTCGCACCTCTTCGACGTTACCGGCTCTTCGCCGAGCCAATGTCCCGTCTGTTTTTGCCCCGCACCTCTGGGCCGGCGACTCAGCTGGGAGACGGTCTTTTTAGCAGCAGCGGCCGCCGGCGAAGAGGCTGACCGTGTTTGTCGGTGGCAAGAATTCCCCGCCTACCTCCCGTGGGTCGCCCGAGCCAGCTCGAATTTGAGGGCCGTCAACGTGAAAGCCCCATGAGAAATTCCGATGGACTTACACCAGACTGTGGACGTCTTCAAGCAACTATTTTTCCGCCGTCCCGGCCAGGCAGTGAATGATGGATGGCGAGCGGCTTAATTAAAAACGCGCAACGCTGACAAATTGCACCGCCGGCCCCGCAGAAACAGCCGCAGAAGAGGCCGGCTAAATTATTGCCCAGTGGCCCGCTCGCCCCGCGAGGCCCGTCCGACAGGGTAACACAAACACGGGCGGGGCGGGCTGAGAGAGGTGTGACTGGAGGGCACGGAAACCAGCTGATGAGACGGTGGGAGATACAGGAGAGAGGTGAGAATGCAAGGCGATGGGAACCAGCTGAGGGGACGGCGGGAGATTCAGAGAGGGGTGCAACCACAAGGCGATGAGAACCAGCGGAGGGGAAGGCGGGGGCGGATACGGAAGCGGCGTCCCCTCGACTACATTCGGCCCCGTCTGTGGCTGTGTCGGCGCGCTCAGCTAGACATATTGCCACGATCAGGTCGCGATATCCCTCCAATCAGATCGGAGCGCCGGCGACCATTTGTCCACAAAGCCGGCCATAAAATGGTAAGCGGTTGGTAAGTCGCGATAACCGCCAGCACGGGCTCAGCTGAAGAAACAAAGCCACAGGATAGACTGGAAAATGTTGCCCTTTAGCGCCATGTTGTGCCCTGTGCCCGTGTTGATATCAACGATCGTTTATGCTGATGCTCTCTAATCCTCGGTAATTCGTTCATAACATATTAGTCTGTTTTTGTCACCGGGCCGATCAGTCACAATTGTCCGTAGGTAATACGACCCTTCGCTGCATATCAATATCCTTACTCCCGTGTGCCTACCGGGTTATTGCGCTGAGCCGGTCCCGATTGTCTATTTACCCTACCGGGTCGGTCTCTGGAGAGGATTCTCGAGGAATAAGCCTGTCGCCGTGGTCATGGGCCAGACCTAATGATACTCCCCGGTCACCAATGCTGTCAACATGGGCTACATAGTGTAACGGAGTACTCAGAGTCAAGCGAAGCTACCTTTCATCGTCAGCACCACTCTCACACCCACCCTCTCCTCCGCCTCCGCCTCCGCCTCCGCCCTGGAAGACGCGGTCGCCAAAAAAGCGTGTGGCTCGTTGGCCGCCGGCGGCCGAGTCGAGTTTGTCTGATCGAGTTGGCCACTGGGCCGGTTGCTAGTCGAGTCACGGTTGCCGATAATCCGCCGTTCGTCGTGGCGGATCCTCTGAGACGAACGAACGCGACTCGACGTCGTCCGACGCGGACCGGCGGCGACAGACTCAGACGATGTAGGCAGACAGAACTGGCACCGGGGTCGGGTCGAAACGTGGTAGAGACGCACAGCCGACCGCTTTTACACAGACAGAGCTCAAGTTCAGCTCTCCTCGCGCTGCGCAGCCGGTTGAGAAGAGAAAATATTCAGCAAGTTTACCCCAAGCGGTGAAGCTGTTTGAGTTATGATCAAATCTCGGCGAATTAAAAATCGTAAATTTCAACTTCTCGAATTAAATTCCGAAGAACTATTCAAAGGCGTGTGTCGGGTGATTTCTGGTGCCGCACCTGGTGAACATTTCCGACGCCGCTGCGGCGCTCGATGTGCGTTTGGCCGAAGGTCAGGAAGGTCACGATCTCGCCACCAGCGCTTGGCTAAATCATGAATGCAATATGCGGTCTGCTTGAGGCTGTTCTGTCCAGTTCCTGGTCTGCTCACGAGCAGAACTCCAGACATTACTCGGTTTAGTGCCGCCTTCGCCGCCCACACGAACGCCGCTTGCAGCTGGTGCCTCTCTCTCTCTCTCTCTCTCTCTCTCTCTCTCTCTCTCTCTCTCTCTCTCTCTCTCTCTCTCTCTCTCTCTCTCTCTCTCGCTCTCTCTCTCTCTCTCTCTCTCTCTCTCTCTCTCTCTCTCTCTCTCTCTCTCTCTCTCTCTCTCTCTCTCTCTCTCTCTCTCTCTCTCTCTCTCTCGCCCACTTGACCCACGACTCTTGGTATGCTTTTATTGTTACACCAACTTTGAGTTAAAGTATTTCTCACGTTGGTTTCCTTCTTACTGTTGACCTATCACCAGGGTGTGTGACTTGTGGATAGCCTCGCCGCAAGGTATCGCTGCGTTTGTAACATTATACTTTTAACACCACCCGCCTCGTGTTGACCCTGACCTGTGGTTTTGCTGTGTTTCAGAGCGAGGTCTGCACAAGTGCCTTGGTAGACGTGGTCCATGCGGTGATCAACGGCAATGACGGATGCGTGCTGTGTCTGGGACAGTCCAAAACAGGTAAGTTTTACTTCACGATCTCCCTCTGTTTGGCGGTGTATCTGGTGCGGTGTTACAGCTCATCACAACCTGGCGCTGACGTCCGTCAGATGAGACGGCTCGCTCAAAATTGTATATGGACTTCGCTGTCATTTGTGTTAGTATATTCTGTGCAAAATGTTTTTCCTCAATATTCCGTATTCTGCCTTTCGATTTTATTGTCCTCGTCTCAGTTCGGACTTTCCTCTGGCGATATCTCTCCCGGTGCCGTCTCTCCTTGTGTGCGCGGGTCAGGCGGATAAATAATTCACGGTTCTGCGAGCGCCGTAAGCTGAGGTCGACCACCCGAACCCCGCTCCTCTTCCTCCGCCACTCCGACTGAAGCACGATTCCCTGTAGGTACTGTCAGACTTTGAACATCGCAGCAGTCTAATCCACGCACAAAGACGTCCAAAACTACTCCGTAGGGAAAGGAATCCTTTGATAAAGTTATTGTGTAGATTCAGAGCGTTACCCGAAAGCTCGTAATTTAAAAGCAGGGAAGTTGTAAAATGTTGAGACATGAACTGTGTCAAGAAGGTCGCCTGTCAGCAGCAGAACTCATTGTCATTTTGCGAGCAGTTTCGCTGTCTCTTCTGCTCGCGAGAGCCTGACTGTGGCAGTTGTGACAGTGACTCTTGTCAGACGAGCTGCAAGCTTCGTTTAGCGAACTGCAGCCACCAGCTCTAGGAAAGCGAGCTGCAGCTCTTGACCTTCAGGCCGTCCTCAGATCTTTCGTATAAAATGTTCCGAACATGGCGGGAGGGTCTCGCCTGATAGTTATACTGATCGGTCTATAAATCGAGCAGCTGTTCGTGTATCGCTAAGTGTCACAAGCGTCACCACATACCTACAAACATCACTGAACGACTCTTCTTATTGTCACGTCAATTTGCAACACGTGGCTACATGAACTTGCAGATTGTCGTCCCCTGCATTGCCACCAGACGCTCACCATCAGTACTGCACGCACGCTTACCTCCAGATGTTCTACGCACAAATTATTCACCGCGTGATCACATCTGGCTCCGTGTGTTACGGTTAGAGAGTTCTACACACCATATCGCTATGAATGGCCGTGCAAACCTGGTGGAAGCGCTGGCCTCTGGTGTACCGTGCTCTGGCCTAGCCGACCGAGGCAGCCGTTTTCTCCTTCCATTAAATTTGGTCTGATCAATCTCGCTGGGGCGGCGCAGGTGTCGCCCGAGCGACTGGCCCAGCCGGTGTAAGAAGGACGCGTTTCTTGACCCGCCCGGGCCGCTAATCGCTCATAAACTTGGCCCCGAAGGTGACAGCCGGGGTCGATTCGCGGCTGCCGCGGGCTGTAGCAGTGAGGTCGGAACGGCGCCACGGCCGCAGGGCGGATTATTGATACCGGGCCGTCCGAGATGGCTCCAGTGGACTGCAGCAGCTGAGAGCAGTGGAGAGAGAGAGAGAGAGAGAGAGAGAGAGAGAGAGGAGAGAGAGAGAGAGAGAGAGAGAGAGAGAGAGAGAGAGAGAGAGAGAGAGAGAGAGAGGAGACAAAAAAAAGATAAGAGAGGAAAAGAAGAAAGAGGGGAGGAATGAAGAGACAGGAGGTCGGTGTCAAGTCAACAAGCTGACAATTCTCAATGCATTTATTTATTTAGGCAATGGATTCACCTAACCTATATTTGATCTACATTCAGTTGCACCGTGCATTCCATCTAATGCCTTGCCTGTTACTCACTACCATCTCATCAAATCATGACCGGCGCCTTCCGTCAGTCCCATTTTATCTCCTCCACCCACTTCCACTCCCGGTAGTGACAGTGTCAGCTCGGCAGCTGGAGAATCTCGCACAGCTGCCGAGTTACAGCTCAGCCATCTCCGTTAGCGATAAAACATTCAGAGGCCGCACTGCTTGCTGCCCACAGCACGGTGTCGGTCTGTTCCCAGAAAGGCTGTGCGGTATGATGGTGATGGGGGTGGGTTTCCAGAATCGCGGTCCCAAGTCCCGACCTTCTCTTGCCGCATCTCTCTAATGGCTAATTACCTCTGTGGAGCTGATTGGATAACTGGTTGTTATCGGTGACATTGAGCGGAATCGTTTGTTGTGTCTTGTGCAAAGGCAATCAGAGCTCATCTTCTTGTCTCCTGTGGAAGTTATAAATCGAAGGATGCGATCCAGGAGCACGGAATTATTCGTCCTTTATATTGTGTCGTGCGGTACAGCCTACCTTCAGGCGTTTACAACTAGCGCCATCTATGGATTGGAATGCGAATACAAGAAGCCTGATAATCCGCTCGATAACGTTGACCCACTGTCGCCTGCGCCATGACGTATGGTCCACATAGCCAGGGGTCATGACCTGTAGCCGACTCCAGTAGCTGCCCATAACTATCACCCGTGCGCCCGACGGGATATACAGACAGCAGCTGGCCACTCTCAGAACCACCGCCGCGCCACTGTAGGGTGTGTTGGCTCTTCACTCACCTGGCCTGAACTGGGAAACTACCAACTATGGCAGAACACTGCCGGAACACTGCCGGAAACCCGTCAGAGCGTTCCGAAACGAACACGTCCGGAGCGCGGCCATCGCCGTTCAAACGGCCCCCACCGCCGCCCTCTGCGGCATATCAGCACCCGAATATGATGCTTATGGCGCCATAGCCGGTCGCCGGCGCGGTGCTTAGACTATCTCTGGCATGCCGGCTGGCAGGCTCGAAGGAAAACGGCGCCTTCCGGCCGGCCGGCGAGCCGCCTGGGGCCGCCAGGGCCGGCCATTCCAGTCGCTCCCGGTGCGATAGCAGATGATAGCTCGCGGCGGCTGGTTTGCGGCGGTCTGACTAAGGCGGGCCGCCTCTAGCGCCGGGAAGTGCTGTCTCAGCCGTAACTCTCAGTGTCGCCGGCTATCTGTGCGGACGGCACTGGTGAACTATTTAGCGCACCCTGCTCACCTTAATTGAGACCAGAGCGGAGGGTCCTGTCAACCAACCCCTCCTCTCCCTCACCCCTACCCAGCGTCGATCTCGACGCAGCTCCGCGGGTAGCGGCGTGGTGCGGTTTCGTCGCGGCCCGGCGCGCCGGTGGCGCCCATAACTCGTCCCACTATCTGTGCGCGGGGGCCACTAAACACGGCCCGCCGCTGGCGACCATGCGACATAGCCGGCGGCCGGCGGCAGGTCGTAAATACGCTGCATTGAGACGTTTATAGTCGGCAGAGCGCGCGGCCTGCTCGCTCTGCCACGGTAGCTGTGTTTATGCGGGAACAGAGTGGTGCGGCGCCTGGTGAGAGAGCTCGAACACACTCCGGGGTGGAGCGGAGGAACCGCAGATGTCCCGAGAACGACCGACGGTGATGGGATGCGGGTGGGGATTTTGTGTGAATGGGCCTCTCAGGTAATGAGTTTGATCTGCAGAACTATGATCGAGTAATTACGGGGTGATTAAAGAGGTGTGTGCTATCTTTCAGCGGTTGATCTCGTAACCGATCGCTGAAAATGACATTCGCTTGGTTTTTGACTGGCGCGTGCTAGCACTCCGCGTTTCTATTTTACTGCAAAACTGCGTTTGAAGGGCCTTTCTTGGCCTGTGACAGGGTGCTCCCAACGGTCCCATCGCTGTTTAATCGTCTCGCTAACTGCGGGACCGTCTCTTGTGACGGACACTTCAGTCGCCACCAGCTAATGCATGAGTCCTTGCCTTGATCCCTGAGGGCTTTTATATTGCGCAGCGTGAGTGTGACGATTCAATCGGCCTCTATTGGTCTGCAAGTACGCGGCGCCTGACACCTAAAGGGACTGTGACCTCTGCGTTCACTCGGCGATGATCGAGGTCAGCACCCTGGATGACCTCTGACCAGCGTGCCACGTTCCCGCCGGCCTGAGCGGTGCGTGTTGTCTGTCTGATCTCTGCTCAATTGGGCTACGGGAGGTGCGTGTTTCACGCGAGCGCGTAGCCACGCCGAGATCTGACGGGTCAGGTCACAGCCGGTCAGCGCAGACCGGCAGACACCCTCGCTCTGACGGGCCGGCTGCGGTTAGGTTTGAGATGTCAGTCTGCAGCCACCTGATGCCGGTGAGGTGTTTTGACGAGCTGTCGCAGCTCAACATTAGCGCTCTGGTCTGAGATGGACTGAACGATCGACCGCGCCGGGACGGCCGCGCTGCGCCACTCGACGCCACTTCCGCGCCGAATAATGAGCTCGTTTGTCGCGTGGCGTGACTCGGCGCACCAGTAAGTCATCTCGGCGCGCCAGGTGCCAGGCGATAGCGACGCACACGGCTCCCCATGCGGCATTTTCGGCGCGTCTGGTCCCAAGGTGGTTCGGCAGCAGCGATGAGTGTCGTGCTTACACGCTAAAAGCTGTCTGAGGACTCAGGCTAGACGGAGAATTCCGATGTTGTTACATCAAGGAAACATTGCGTGACAAAACGGATTGGCAGAGACCGAAGGTGCGCCGAGTGGCGTACTCCGCCGCTCCAATTTTTGCGTGTCATATTTGGGTTTGATAAATGAACGGGACGGAATAATTTCCGTGAGCCATAGCAACTACTGGTTTTCCGCAATGCTGTCATCAAACTTGTTATTCGATCGTTTCATTAAATCAACGTCAGGCGAATTCGAACCATTTCCTAAACCCTTTTGTCTACTTCAACTAGTTCTTCTGCTTTTAAAAGTGGTCAGTATACTGTCACTAGCCTCAATACACTCATTGCACCTATCCTGACGTCAATCTCATGAGTCACTTAACGTGTTCTCAGGCAAGACGACCACAATGCTGGGCGGCAGCGGCTCGGGAGACCAGCTGGGTGTGATCCCCACAGCTATCTCCTGGCTGTACCGCGGCATCGGCGAACAGAAGCAGAAGAGCGGCGCGCGGTTCTCCGTACGCGTCTCAGCCGTGCAGATCGCAGGAGCGGCCGAGAACCTGCGAGACCTGCTCAAAGACCACGCCAAAGGTGAGGATAGAGGGAGAAAAGGAGAGAAAGCTGAAACTGGAGGAATGATAGGTATGTGGAAGGAACGTGTTAGGTCGCGTTGATGGCACTGAAAAACGAACAGCTTATTCCGTGCATTGTTAAGTAAGCAATGATAGATTGCGCTAATGTATGTACTCGTATTCCCTATTGCAGGCCACCCTGCATTGTTTTATGGTGAAGTAATCTTATTAGCATCTTCCTCACATACGGTGACTTATATTGGCCATGCTAGCTTGATAAACAGGTCTTGTGGAAGGGACGATTTATGTGACCCATTTGGGATGGTCAGAATATTTCATGTGAAGAGTCGTTTATGGCTTGCAGATCTAGAGATGAGAAATGTGGTGTTCTATGCTGATTTCGTTGAATGATTTTATGCTCGTGGTCATGAATCGTGATGTATCCATACCTTTATTTCGTGGAAGGTGTAATATAAAAACACCACCGATCCAACAATAGGCAACGTAAGACTGTTGGTGCTCTTGCCTACTGTTACACCTAGCAAAACCCATTTTCTGCTGTCACTCAAACGCTTCGTCTGTTTCTCGTTACAGACACGGACCAGTCGCCGGGGGTGTACCTGCGCGAGGACCCGGTCCTGGGCAGTCAGCTGCAGAACCAGTCTGAGATCCGAGCAGAGACCGCTGAGAAGGCGGCGCTGTTCCTGGACACCGCGGCGGCCGCCCGAGCCGCCGGAGAGGACGGGGGCCGCAGCTCGCACCTCCTGTATACACTGCATGTGTTCCAGTACAGCGTCAAGTCGGACAAGAGTAGTGGAGGTGAGCGTAAGAGGTTCTCCTTGGGAGTAAATAACGGGTATGTAGGGTGGGAGAAGAAGACGCATTTCCCATAACTAACAGTCTTGCAGTTATTGCATTATAGGAAGCATTTTATATTGACGTTAAGTGTGTGAGGAGACCACGGAATGTGTGTGGTTCGAATGAGCGGGAGTCAGTGTTGACTTTGTGTTAGTCGAACTCGACTGGCCGGTAAAGCTGTCACTATCAATCTGGTTATTCCATGTTTATTTTCACTGTCAGTTCGTCTTAGTTCGTACGGCGGTAAGTGAAGTGTCGGCATATCCCGCTGGCCGCCCGTCTCCTCCCGTCAGTATGTGTTTGTTCAGCTGGTAGACCACGTTCACCCGCGATCGCTCTGCTGACCACTGACACCCCCTTCCCTCTTCATGAACGGTAGATCCTGACAGGTCCATGATGAGATGCTATGTTGAGGATACGTGCATCACCCCAGGCCTGACGTGTGGTCAGAACTGATCGCGCCATCCCGTCCAGTGAGGCGCTATGCCACCGGGGCACGTCAGAACTCATTAGCATCTCTGAATTGACGTTAGACACCTGCAGCTGCTGCTTTCGTGAACGATCACTCCTGACACCTCGGTGTGCCGCAGTGACGGGAGGACGCAGCCGACTGCACCTGTTTGACCTGGGCAGCTTCGAGAAGACCAAGGTGTCAGGTCTGACGCTCTCCGCCGTCGGAAATGTCATCGTCTCCATCTTCAACGCGCACAAACACCTTCCGTGCAGGTGAGAGAACAAGACACAAACTCTTGTGAAGTGGGAATTGAGCCTCATAACTTCCTCATTCTATGCATGTGGTGAACAGTGAACACTGAACATGCCTTTAGTAGCTCATCTACTATAGTAGTCCTTAGAAACCCCTACGGAGAGCAGCATGCACATGGATGAGTGGATCCAGTGGTTATTTCGGTACTGCTGTGCCGATCGACTCGCCTTATCTCGCTCTGACGTTATGTTTATATAACACCTACTCAGCACACCTATCGCACACCGCGGACCGACTTCACTCCCTCCCAGCCCCGCTCTGCGCAATTTGCACCTACAGACGCTGAGTTACTCCGACTGGGGACATCTAATCAGCGGCGATAATCTACACGGGAGTCGGCCCTTCCTGACCGAATTACTGGCCTCTGGCCGCCGGGCCGCCTTCCGCCGCCTGATGGCCCATTCGGCCGCCGTTCTCATGACTCTGCGCGCTCGTCTCAAACTCTATTCCGGCGCTAATGCGTCGCGTATGGGGTCGATCTCTCACCGCGGGTCCGCTCTTGGTCTTGTGACGTCATCAGCCCCCCGGGGACCGCCCGTGTCGATAATGACGTCCGTCGAGGGTAGGAAACGGCGGTCCGGCGACCGGAAACGACGGTCCAAAAATGGAGTGCCGTTAGTCCACATAGCTGGAAAACTGTGAGCCTATAACGTAGGATGGTCACCATGAGTGGAGAGGTTGAACCAGAGGGCTAACGATGGTAAGTGATTGTCATCCACCGAGCCAACCGGCGAAGATAGGAGAAGTAAAGACTAGCCAAGAGTATGAGATGGCTCAGGATGGATGGGTGACCACCGGAATGTCGACCGGACCATTATACCGCTGAGACGCGTGAAATGACGCCCGAACGGGGACAGAATTGATTTGTGTGCGCTCAGAGTGGACCTGAGCTGGTCTGGCAGAGTCCGGCTGGTCAGTCAACCGGGTCTGGGGGTCTGTGGGGGTCTGGTGTGGGCTCTGGCGGAACTCTGAATTCAGAGCCAAATCGGGCAGAATGATGACCGGACAGTGGAGGTCCGACGGGCCGGACGGTTATCGTTAAACTGTGTTACGGAAGTCCGAGTCAGCGAAACTCCCTGAGGAAGTGTTCGGTATGCGTGGTGGATAGACAGTGCACTAACCCCGCTCTTGCTAACCCCGACTGCGTTTGGAGAGATAACTAACCAGCTCGGCTCGATTGTGTGTCAGTGATGCAGAGCAGACTGAACTGGTAAACATTCCGACCGAGCCGCTGTATTTATTGCTGCGCATGACGTCTGCTGTTCGGTCCGATCGACTGGGAATCGTCAGTAGCAGCTCCCGCGAGACGTGACCGTGTTCTGGATACTGAACGGCCCATGTATTTCATATCGTGTAGTGTTTGTATCGAGGGTTGATCTGAGCTCTATAACATTAGCCGATATACATGTCTTGATGCACGTTTATAATGTTGATGTCAAACATTAGATAGGTACCTGCTTATCATGTAATGTCATGATTGCCATTTATCCTGCAGCAACTCCGTCGCTGCCGTCTTGGTTTCGAATCCTATATGTACGTAACGACCATCTCGATGACGCTCCCTCTTCAATGGCCTTCTTCCATTTGACGCCCCTCCCATTTTTCCTCAGGGACAGCAAGCTGGTCCACCTGTTCAGAGAAGCCATGGGCTCGCTGACCTGCCAGACGACAATCGTGGCGCACGTTAGCACAGACGCGGCGCTGTACGCGGAGACGCTCACCACTGTTCAACTGGCCAGTCGGATTCACAGGATGAGACGGCGCCGGATCAAGGTCAGTGGTGGGTCAGCGCAGGGGCGGCGCCAGGTCATTGCAGATGGTGGGGAAGAGTGCGCAGCAAGGGTGATTCCAGGGCACGGCATAGGGTGGGGCCAGGGGGGAGATTGCTGGTAGGAATGCGGGGGGGATTGTTGCGAGAGTCGGGTTTCAGAGCATTAGTCTGAACATCAATACCTGTCGCAGATGACAACTAACCCGACCGTTCCTCGAAACAGCGCCTTAACATTAAGATGGATGTGTTTTTCTGTGGAAGGAATGCCGGCTGCCGGACAGGGATCGCTTCCACTGTAGTTTTTCTGTGCTCCGGGCCGCACCCACGGGAATAGTGTGGTTAAGGAGGGATTGAAGGGGATTGGTGGGATTTCGGGGTAAATGTGGGGCTTTGCTCCCCCGAATCGGGCGCCGTGTGTCCGGACTCGATGTTGATACATTACCCTAGCGATTGTGAGTGTGCCGTTGTCAATCGGAGCCTTTGTGTGGGGCTCCCCACCGGGTCGTTACCGCTAGATTTCCATATATTTTTGGTTTTATCTCTTTGGTTTGACGGCGAATGGATCGAAATGGCTTTCCGGAACGATTTCGTGGAGCCTTCCATATGCTAAGGCCGGTGTGCCGGCGGCCGGCGCCAAATGGAATCGCTTCGGTCGATGCTCGAACGTCCACACTCATAAAGCGCGACGGCAGCCGCCTGGGCCGGCCGATATCGAATTCGCCTGTTGTCACGATGCGTTAGGCTGATCGGTTTTTCTCGTGTTACATCCGGCACTTTCCAGCCCGTGGGTGTTGCATATTATTGTCAGTTTATCATGGGCGAAAATGTTGAAAATATTTCGATTCTCGTCAAAGCTCTACGACATTCTGACTGTCACGACTCACGCACCATCTAGGTATATTTAGATCTAAACAATCCACAGTCTTTATGAGAATATGTTTTCGGCAAGCATGCATGGCATCTGTTTAAGTCCCGGTTTCTTTTATTTTAACATATTCTGCAAGGTCTAATTAAACCGGCGTGGAGTGCGGGCTTCGTATTGCTCTGGGACGCGAGTACCTATGCAAATTCTCAGTGTCAACCAGGGGCTATTATAGAAGTCGCCGTCCCATGAAATGTAATGTCCACTGCTCTCTCCAAGACTGCGGGACGGTGACGGGGAAATTAGCGGACTCAATTAGACTTCCTCTCGGGCCTGACATGTCGCGAACCATCCCTGACATCTCTGACCGTTCTACTGAAGTTAATGCAGCGAGCGGAAATGTCAGTTGCACGTTCATCGTTCAATCGTAGTCTAATGACAGACGTCTAGAGCCTTTTGATATGTTTCGGAGTAGCGCGGGTTATATGCAGGTGACTGGATCGTATTTTAACATGATTTTGGCGTGTAGGTGATCGTAAATTTTGGAATGATGTGAAATGAATAGCGTTGCTGGCATGTAGCTCGGTTTTGTAGCCAATATATTAGCTGTAGCTGACATGACTCTCGTAAACAAGGAATGGCCACATTTCGTCGCCGGTCACTCCAGACAATTGATCTGTCTCCAACAGTCACCCCGTAAATATCTGAGCAGCAAATCACCTAACTTCAGGCCCAGTCCCCCTGAGAGACCGGCTGATACGCCCGTTTCCGACGGTGACCTTCATGAAACTGTCACAAGTAACCCAAATGGTTTGATTGATTTACGATCTATTGAGCTCTCCAGCGAAGTTTGACTTCATTGACATTGAATTAACCTTGCCATGGCCCATGGCGCGTCCCTGGCATGCTTAATGCCCCGCTCTTTTCATTGCCGTCGATTGCATATTTCTAAAAACATCATTATAGCTGTCAGGAGAGGTATTCACTGGATTGAAAATTCGAAAATCATTTTACGTTTAGGATTCAATGTGATCTTTACCTTTAACAGTTCTTTGACGCTTGAGTGTCAGTTGTTGAACCGATATTAGATAAAATCATTTCCCAATTGGACATCTGGACAAGCCTTCATCTGAGTTCCGACTCATCCATATAACTTGACCTCTGGCCCGATTTCTGCCCTTCCCTATGACCGTGCACCCGCTCTATTTATCTACTAGTTTGTTGATAAATCTACCCAGTCTGGTCTGATAAGTCTGGTCTCTGTCTAACCTATCCCCTGACCACTACTCGACCTCTAACCCGCCCCTCTACCTCCACAGCCGCACGGCTCCTCCGGCTCCGGAGGTTCCGCTGAGGAGAACCGACCGGGCCGTCTGCGCAGCTCCGGAGAGGAATCCTCGGGCCGCTCCTCTTCCGACGTGGACCCGTCCAGCTCGGAACAGTCTGCCGACACAGTCATCTACATGGGCCCCGGAGCGGACGAGTGTACTGACGGCGAGCACCCGCCCGTTTACATTCCCAGTCTGACCAGCGACAACCGAGCCGCTATGGGGAAGGTATGTGTGCTTGTTGAATAGTATATTATAATAATGAGCCATGGATATAGAAAATAAAATGAAAATTTAAATCATTCTGGTGTTTTATGCAGATTCAGTTTTACCCTTCATGGAAAGTTCATATCTCCTCAGCATCATGCATATTTCGGTACTCGTACTCAAGACCCATCTGACCTTCCTATGACCTGTCTCTCCCCCAGGCGTTGAAGGGCTCCAGCGCGGAGGGTACCAAGTGTCGCAGTCCGGCCAGGACCACGCACAGTGCCTCATCGACCCCCACGCACCGACCTCCGGCGGCAGCTGCAGCGGCGGCGCCCTTCTCACCTCAGCACAGGGCGGCCGAGAAACTCACCGGCGCCGTATCCAAGAGTCCGCAGGTGGGAGAACTGGGATATGACATTACAAGAGCGGTGGTGCATTCCGTCAACAGGGTCATTCGTGTTGTGAATACCAGCAAATCTTTGCTTTGTAATAGGTAGTTGAGTAAATCACAACTTGTGAAACGAAATTCGATGACCATGATCCCATGAAAAAAGTGTTAGGGTAACTGTGGGGAAGACGCACCCCTGGGTTAAACGCCTCCCCTAAAAAAATCGTATTTCTTATCGACGGATAGGTGTTTTATCCTGTCTTTCAGAACAGTCAGCTGCTTGTTTACGTAGGTCTCTATTTCCGGTTCTGCGTCTTGAGGAGCAGCGTGGGTAGGTGCTGATGTTGGTTTTGGGTGTTGTTTTTGTTGTTTTTACAGAAGATTCCTAATATTTTGATGCCCTCTTTATATCACAAAACTTGCTATTGTGCATATCATTCAAAACTGCGTTTTATTGTCATTCTGTTGAACGTATTATGCTGCGGCGTTAGTGGCGCGTTTTTTGTCAATATTTTGTTGACCGGAAATGGAGTGGATGGGGCAAGACGCCTACTCGATGCATGGGGCAAGACGCCCCCAGTTTTCTGAAAGGGGGGCGTTTTGCACGGTGGTGAGAGTGCAGGGTAGCGCCCTGTAGGTCGGGGCCGAAAAGGCCTCTCCCTGTCCTTTTTTAATGATATATCCTAAACGACTGCAGATATCGTCACCAAACTTTCAGGACTCCTCCGGGCATCAATTTTACACATTGCAACACAATTTCATCCCAAAGGCTATGATAGGTTGACCACAAATGACGTCAGAATGACGTCAAGTTCTGCCATGTTCATCATTTTCTGTTGATGGATGGGGTGGGGGCGCTTTGCACATGGGTGTGGGCGTATTACCCAGGGTATGGGGCAAAACGCCCTTTTGTAAGGGTATGCGAAAACCTTTTTGGGGGGTTAAATACCACACGCAGGTGTCTTTTCTTGGTCTCAAAGCGTAGTAAAAAGAATGAGCTACACGATGGTGCCCAAAGGTTTAAGTAATCTGTGTTGGGTTGAGTGTCAGAAGGTTTCGCGCTTAAGGGGGGCGTTTTTGACCTATTCACCCTATGTGTATGAACTAATGTCTTTCACTTTATAATTCATAGCGTTCACTCTTTGATGATATCGAGGCATAGCAATAGGGATCACTTAATTTAGCGTCCATCCTGGTCCGGTTTCAATTGCGCGTTGGCTATTAGGCTGTGGGTCCGGGGACATTGCGTCTCATTGTCTGCGTTAGTGAGTATCCGGTACTGAGGTCCCCTGTGACGGTCGAGCGGACAGCCGCTGACATTATTGAGACCGATGGTGTCCGCCGCCGACGGCCGGGTCACCGGGTCAGGGCGCGGGTCCGATGGAGCCATGGGACCTCTCAGACACCCGGGAATGAAGTCGGTTCTTCGGCGGAATCCAATTGGCACTGCCAGCCTCACTGAATAATACATGCGCTGCGGGCATGGCACGGGATACGCCTTCATGACATCAGGAGAGGATATGTTCATGACTATTTTCATGAGACGTACTATGTATGAAGTGTCAGGCAACTATCTCGTTCCGATTTGCTATTGCAATATATTGTCTAGCCGTTCTTACTGGCATATATGTAGTTACTATTCTCATAAACTGTCTTTTATGCGATGATTATACCGATTTTTTTCTCTCCTTGCCAGATCAAGCGGAAGGGCCACGACCCACGTCACGCCGGCGGTGCGGCCGGGGAGAAGGCGACGCCCTCCTCCGGCGGACAGGAGCAGTGGGTGGACGGGCCGCGCTTCTCCCGCTCCCGGATCGCCGAGGCACACAAGATCAAAACTCGTCAGGAGACGTGGATTGACGGACCCTCTGGAGAGTCCCGCCCGCCTCCCGCTGCCATGCCCAGCGCCGGAGCGGCAGCCGGGGCGGCGGTGGGAGCCATCCCCAAGACAGCGCGGCCGGGCGGTCGGCCGGCGCCCGCCGCGCAGGGGTACGGCTTCATGGACGACCACAAGAAGTCGATGATTACCCGCTGGGTGGAGCACCAGATAGAAGCAGTCACCACCAAGAAACGCACAAAGTCGGAGGAGGCGGCCCACCGCGCCGCCGGCCAGTATAGGGAGATGACTCAGTTTAAAACACAAGACGACGAGCCGGTGGAAGCCAAGATTATGACGCAGTTCAAGACACAGGACTCGGGCGAGGAGAGCAGTCCCCTGCCGGAGCGACACCCGCGCGCGGCGGCCGCGAGACGGGTATCGCCAGAGATGGGCGCCTCCAGCACTCTGCCCAGACAGGTACGGAAAGAGCGAGAGAGAGGGAGGAAGGGTGAAACGGGCTTAGAGTTAAGCTGGTTTGACAGTTTTGATTCGACACGGCAACATATGGAACTCGGGGACATGGCTGGCAAATGATAATGTTGTCTTTAAAGTGTATTCGTTCCCATTCTAGCGTCGTGGCTGTTTCCCTGAAAGTCAGTGATGCTTATTGTTGCCGTCCGTATTCTCCAAATCACGCCCATCTTCTCTCCAATTTCAGAAGTCCCGTTCGTCTGCGGAGAAGGAGTCGTCCCCTCCTGTCGCTGCCGCAGTACCGGCGGCAGTAGCGGAGAAGGCAGCTCCAGCTCCCAGCGTGGCTCCGCGGCCGGCGGCTGAGGTCCCTCGGCGGCCTACGGAGCCTGCAGAGGAGAGCACCCCGACCCTGGACGAGATCTGCGCCCAGTGCGAGCACCTAGTGGACGTACTCTGTCAGGAGGGCCAGGCCGCCCGGCCGGCCGCCGCCGCTAGGGACGACTCGCCGCCTGACGGCAGTAACGCCGGTCCGTCAGATGGCAGGAGTGTCGCACCGGTCGGCGGCCGGACCTCAGCACTCACGGTGGCACATGATACTAGGGTGGTGGCTGATGCCGCTCAGAACACGGGTGAGTTGCCGCTACTCTTGGTTAGAACTCTTGGTTAGCCCGTCTTGGTTAGCCCGTAGCCCGTCTTGGTTGCCCCGTCTTGGTTGGAACTCTTGGTTAGCCCGTAGTTACTCTTGGTTAGCCCGTCATTTCAATGTCACGTTTCTCTAAAGCTTGCACATATTTCTCCGGCATTCAGACCTCGACATGTCCCGACCCAGGCCAGACCGACCCTCCAAGCCCTCTCACTCCCCCACCTACCACCCACCCTGACTCTCGCGTCCTCCTTCTCCAGACGAGGCGGACAGTATGTCGGAGGAGTGCTCCGAGCCGGACAAGCAGCCCTCCAGCTCCTCCAGCTCGGATGTCGCCCGCGGCGAGATCATTGAGGTGGAGGAGCGCGACGAGCCGGTGCCCATGGCCGACTCGTGTGTGCAGGTGAGGCGCTGGTTTTGTTTCTCAGGGCGAGGGACGCTCTCTGTTCTCATGTTCTAACTTATTGTCGGGTTTTCATTCAAACTTAGCGTTGTCGCTCATTTGTGTGACAATACCGTTCTTCTCTATGGTATGTGGGTCTCTGACATTGAGATTTTGTTCTCTTCGTGGTTCTCGTAGTTCAGATGAACGAAGGAAGCGTTGTTGAGTTTTGTCGTTTTAATTTGCCCGGCTATATTTCGCTCATCAGTGCCTCGTGCTACCGTGGCGTCTATCGTCTCATATTACCTTCGTGTCGGGTTGAGGCTTGCTCAGTGTACGGCGCCTCACCCTGGTCTCTGTTCCTCCCTCCAGGTAACCGAGGAGGACATTGCCCGCTGTTTGGGTCTGCCGCCGCGGCCGCCGCTACTGACAGCCCCGGAACTCGATGAAAGCGGCCACCCGCTGCGCGCCCTCAGCGAGGAGAACCTTACCTCTGCATCGAGCTTCTCCGGTAGGTGGTCACCTGACTCGGGCCCGAGCTGACTGGACATGATCTGAACGGCATTGCCATCTGAGTTACTTATATATTCTCTCATCGTAAACGTCTCCTCACTTCTCACTTCTCTCGCTAATGACATCTACCGTGACGTCAATCGTAATGATCGGTGTACTATGAAATTTTCTGTGTACTATGAAATTTTATGTGTACTATGTCCCTCCCCAGTAACCTCTCCCTTTCCCTCTCTAGAAACATACACTCTGCGCGGCGGCTCCGACTGCGACCCTCTGTACGACGTGCCCGGCTCGTGCGGCACTAACCCGCTCAACATGCTGGAGATACCCGACTACGACCGGCTGTGTGACGACCTCAGCCTGACCAACCACCGCCTGGAGAAAATCAGCAGGTAGGAACGGCCGGGGAGGCAACTCAGAGGTCGCTGCAGCGTGGGGCACAACAGCGCTATTAAAATATTACTATTTTGATGAATGCACTATAGAGTTTGTGTATATTGAGAATACTAGACGCATTTGCCACAATTCAGTGAAGGACTTCACCTATTTATGGTTATATTTTGTTGGATTGCTGATACAGCTATTGTAACGATCATCCTTCCATTCATTCATTCATTCATTCATTCATTCATTCATTCATTCATTCATTCATTTATTCATTTATTTATCCATTCATTCACTAATTCATTTAGCCCATTACAAATTCATTTAGCGGTCCAACTACTCAGTCTTGTGTCGTTCTTGTATGACACCTGTTTTACCTATCGCATTTACCCGCAGGCTGCACGATTTCTACCGAGGCCTGGCGTCGCAGCCGCCGCTGCCTCCGCCTCAGAGCACCCCGCTCATCACCGAGCTGTTTGGCGGAGACCGCAGCGAGACAAACAGCGTGTGTAGTGAGCCTGTCCGGCCCGTGGCGTGTCTCCACTGCAAGACTCTCAAAAAGACCGACTCTCTGCGCCATGGCAACTACGTGAAGAGCATCAAGGACTGGCTGGCGCTGCTGCCTGACCTGGAGAGCGAAGGTGAGGATGATGATCATGATGATGATGACTGGCGATGGGTTGGTGCTGGGCTGGACACGAGTGCCGCACGGATCATACCTGAGCATGTGATGGAGATATCAGATATGATGTCAAATCCGATATGTAAGATTTAAATGGAGATGAAGATACGTTCCAGACGACAGACAGCGGAGATGAGCTAAAATCATGTTTCTATGGTATCTGGTCTATTGAGCATTAAGCTCTGTCAGTAACTTAGCCTATCACACTTTATTCGCTTTGGAATGAGAGCATGCTGTCAGATTCAGCATTTCCTTGTACCCTTTCTTCATTCACTGACCGGATGTTCCCTCCTCCACCCACAGGCGAGGAGTACATCTGTGATAGCTGTCGACAGAAACAGAACGAGGAGCTCGACCAGATCGGTGACGACTTCGAGATCCAGAGCGACATCACACCCTACCTGCCGACCTTCTCCAACCTATCTTCACTGCGTCACCCGGACGGAGCGTCCAACCCGAACCTCTCCAAACACGACAGCCTGGTGCTGGACGACGAGCCCCCTCCACCGGCGCCGGCCCCCGCGACCGGCACCTCTCCGCTACAGCCGCCGTCGGCGGCGCCCGACCGGCTCGACGAGCGACTGCCGGGGAACGGAGCCTCTGGGTCGGATGAGGAAGCGGGTAGTGGCGGTAGGGCGCCGCCGAGGACCGTGCCAGAGGTCCTCCCGGAGCGCAGCAGTGAGAGGGGCTCGGCCGAGCCGCCCCTCGCTCCTCAGACGGGAGGGACGGAGGAGCGGCGTGCCAGCGCGGCGACGGAGCAGCCGGCGATGGTCAAACCCAAGGGCAGTCGCCTGGGACGGCTGTTCGGCCGGGGCCGCAGCGCCTCGCGCAGTCCCTCCAAACTGGCCAAAGGCCGCTACGTGAGCGCTGAGGTGTGTGGCTCCATCTGCTCACCACGCTACCCAGAGCGCGGTCTCAAGAAGGACAAGAAGACTGACAAGAAGGCCGCCGAAGACCGCAAGAAGACCAAAGAGCGTGATCGGAAGCCGCGCAGTGAGTCGGTCTCATCAGGCACCGAGGCGGCGCGAGGTCGGTCCGACCGCGTGCCCTCGCTGATCTCCGGCAAACCGGACCGTACAGCGCGGCGAGCGGACGAGAAAACCCCCGACTGGCAGCAGCGCGGCGGCGCTGGGCACCGCGAGAAGTACAACTTCAGCTGCGACACCACGCTGCCGGCCTTCCTGCCGAACGTCTCCAGTGGCTATGACAGCGGCAACGACTCCGGCATCGGTCTGAGGAAGTCGCAGAAGAAGCGGAAGGCGGCGGAGAGCGCCGGCTACGAGAGCGCGCTGCCACCCAGCGAGTGTTCGAGTCTCGAGTCCAGTCAGGAGTCGGAGGAGGAGCCGCGACTCAACAGGAAAAACGGCCAGGTGCAGGCAGGTCAGTGTGGGAACTGAGCGCTGGGGCTGTTGAACAATGGAGGTTGCTGTGAGATGCATCTCAAAATCACTCATATATGAATATTGGTTTTACAACGTTATATTCCAATTCAGGAATTGGTCTTACTCTCTTTGGACTGATATTTTGCTTGGTCTATTTATTTAGCATCAAATTTCACATAATGTATCTGTTCGGCCTTCAAGCCAACATTTTGCAAGCTCACAGATCTCATTCATACTAGTCCTCCTAACTACTGGTGTTCTGACCTGTCAATATGTTTGCAGGCTCGCCGGCGCACAAGGCCAGTTCCCGTCGGGACTCTGAGAGCCGCCACCCGCAGGGCCGGCTGGCCAGGGTCGGTGACCCCAGTGATAGCCTCCGGGCAGAAATCACCGCAAAGGTCAGTGCTTAGTAACGGTGATGGCACAGCCGGAGTGGGGTAGGAGGAGTAATACATTCATTCTTTGGTCAAGCGTAGCTAACGACACAGCTCAATTCTACAACGTTGTTGTGTCGTCATCCTCTTTTTCATCGCAGTTTAAATCAATAGGTGTTTATGCGTCGCACGTTTACTAATAACTGCCCGCACGCTTACGATGTCCTGACCTAACCCCTCTCTTCCACCGTCAGGCGGCTGCCAAGAAGACGTGGGCCTCCGGTGGTATTCCAGTGTTCTCGCGACTCTGGCACCGCAAATCGAGCAAGTTGCCGCCTCGGGGCCCGCCAGTGTGATGGTCGCGGAGTCTCAGTAATCTCACTGTGCGCCGCCCGACCGCGACAGATGGCCGCGAGGGCGGTCTCAGAGGGTCGTGAGGGACGAGGAGCGACTCAGTGACTTATGTACGACTCGTAGACTCAGTGACTCACGACTCAATGACTGAGCAGCCGTACGACTTGCTGTGAGTCAGTGAATCAGGTGACTGACACAACTTAGTGACTGAGCAGCGCACTGACTCAGCGGCTGGTTCAGTCTCAATGACTGAGCCGCTGTGAGTCTTACCGGCTCATTGACTGAATGACTCATTGACTTAGTGACTAAGTGATTCACTGGCTCAGCCCAGAACGAGTCTCGGTCGCCGCGCGCCGGCCGGCGACTCTGTGAAGCGGACGTGATAGCTGTACCGTTGCCGCGCGGTGGCCGCGCCGATGTGTACAGCGTTGAACTCTGGCAGTGATCTCGTTATACAGTAGTCACCGAGGGTGTCACAGACGCCCCCAGGGTGCCCGCCGCAGCGGCGGACCCCGTGCCCCCTCCAGTCGCGCGCGCCGTTCCATTCGTTCCGTTTAGTTGCTGAGTTCGAGGCTGGTGTATTCTGATGGGTCGGTCGGTAGGGCGACCGCGAGGCTTGGCGATATATGTGCAGTGCGAACGCGCCGATGTAGTATTTATAATTTTCTATTTTGTACATAATCTGGATCGAATAAACAATGCTTATTACCCGTTACACAGATATTTGGCGAGGTTACGAGTCAGAGGAGAGGAAATGTGAAGTGTAGCACGCGATCAGCAAAAGGACACCAAGCGCGTTTAAATGATGACTTGGGTGGGTTTCTGACTCGGGGTATATGTCGGATGGATGACCAGATTGTTTATTTTTAAAGTGAGTGCCTAGTACAGCCAGTCTTAAAAGTACCGCAACTACCGCACAAAGTACCGGCGGATCCACCAAGCCTGACCGAGGAAGGGCCTGCTATAGTTTAAAAGTCACCGAATCAATTGACCTGGGGAATGGACGAGGATATCAATTGCTTCGGTGACTCAAATTCCACGGTCCTTCCACGGTCGGGCTTGACGGATCCCCCGCACTGTTGCGCGGTACTTTTAAGACTGACTGTACGGTTTTATCATTGCCATTGCGATACAATGTCGCGAATATAATCCCTCGGCCTTTCATACCAGATTTTTTTCTTTAACAATGAATTCCGTCAGCACATATATTTTCCTTTACATCTAGCCAGGGTATAAATATACACAAAACAGTTGGAAGCTTTTGCTAGTGAAAAAACGTCCATATCTGATATAATACATTAGTGATTCGAGACCGAATGCGAGCCCAGACAGAATAGAGAATGACATTTACCGCAAAATACCGCAAAATATTGGGGCATGCGATATAGCCTTTATCGTTCGATTGTGCGGTCAGCCGCAGGTTTGGGACAATCTTTCAACTCAAAACCGGTTTGCAAAGCACTTAAGCAAATTCACAAAAACATGCGCACAGACTGCGCACCGGCCCAACCCGGTCGAGCTGCACAAATTTTGTATAAAACCGGAGTGCGTAAATGTTGAAGCAGTGTTGCGGTCTATCATTTGGCTGCACATCGTGTCGCGTGGAAGTGGAACACGGAAGGTAAGTCAACCAAACCACTGCAGATACAGTCAAAACAGAACATCGCTAATCATCGGCATAAAACCGCACACATAACATGAGTCCTTCGAAAGCCAGCAGGGCATCGATACTGATGCCTCCGAATAACCCTTTTCAGTATTTCAATGCTTCAAATTTGGAGTGCTACCTCTCTATTACTGGACGCCAACGCATACACCTGTGCAATAATAAGTATTGGTCTGTTGGACAGACTTCGTTGAAATGCTATGCTGCTGTTTGACATTTTCACACAGGGATGGCAAGAGAGGCTGTGCTAGGTTGCATCAGCTCCCAATAGCACAAGAACGGCAGACTTATTTGGAGGTGGAAATACTTGAAACGCGTCCTTCCCGCCCAAAGCACCCAGGCTCATCACAATATGCACTCACCACGGTTATCCGTCTGAGGTTTTAGTGCGTGTCGACTGCTGATCGCAACGCAAACTTCGTTTCTCTGCTACAGACACATTTCATCAAGTTTCACAGTTCGCCTATATCAAGTCACTTCGTTGATTGCACCGTGTATACCCTCCACGCCATCGTCACAGAGGCGCCACAAGCCGTCACGATTTAGCACTAAGCGTCACACCGCGTCACGCGTGACCTCCGAGCTCCTGTCTGACAGCGCTGTCTGCCAGTACCGACTGCCGAACATCGACTGCGTCCTCAGGGAACACGGGCACATCATCGTCTGCGCCCTCCGCTTCCTCCAGGGCGTACAGCAGTGAGTCGTTCTCGTACGTGGGGAAAAAGTACTGTGGCTGATCCCAGATTGAAGGTTCGGGTACCCGCAGGTGGTCGGCGGCGCGGAGGTGCTCTAGAAGGGTCGCACGAGTAGGGAGTGTCTCCTGACAGAAGAGACATGCGCGCTCTACCATCTGCCGACGAATGTAGTTGACAAGCTTCACCTGCTGGTAGAAAGAGAGTCGCAGGCGCGACTTAAGTTCGGGGAAATCGAACTGGTGCTCGGCACGCATGTGTGCGGAGAGTGCGTCCACGTCAATTGTGGAGAAGTCACAGAAGAGACAGACGGCGCCGGAGGAGGGGGCCTCCGTCCAATCTGACCAGTCGTCGTCAGAGCCCGGCTCGTCGAAACCGGTCGGAGGACCCTCATCACGCTCCTGCTGAATCTCCTGCCAGCCCTTGCCGAACTCCAGGTAGTTTATGACGTAGAACTTGTCGAACGCCGTGTGCGCCGGGTTGATCTTCTTGTGCTGCTTCTTGCGCATGTGCTCTTTGAGCGTGGCGCGGTCGGGGAAGACACCGTCACAGAAGAGGCACCGCAGCGCCTCCAGTTTGGCCTCGATGGCGTCGATGAACTCGGGTCCGAAGACGATGTTGTCTGGCCGGCCGACGCTGAAGTTGTGCGCCTCGGCCAGGTGGTCGAAGAAGCCGGCCAGCCTGCCGGAGTACTGCAGCCGACAGAACAGACAGCCGCGACTGAACGTCATCGTACGCTCGCGCTGCTGCCGGGCCAGGACGCGCTCCAGGCGGGCGCGCTGCAGCCGCTCGCGCAGCAGCCGGTCCTCGTCAAGCTTAGGCGACAGCAGGAAGTACTCCTCGGAGGGCGCCGCGTCGCTGGGACCCGTGTTGGTGAGCACGGTGAAGCAGTACTGCCGGAGGCCGCCGTCGGCACGCAGCCGCGGCGCCCAGTACCGGCAGTACTGGTCGAGGTCGGCCACCAGGGCCAGGTCGGCCACCACCAGACAGTGCTCGGACAGCAGGTGGGCGGAGAGCGCGTCCCGGTCAGAGGACGGGAACTCGGCGGAGCAGCACAGACACGGCAGCGGCGCCGACTGGTCAGCAGATGCGTCCCCCTCAGCCCCCGGGTCCGGGTCGCCGCAGGGGAACGACAGAGAGGGGCCAGAGTCGAACCGCTGGTCCACCAGCCTTTCAATGGTGTCAGGCTCAGACGACATGGTGATTAACTGCTACTCAGCCAACTGGAAATAAACAAGTTTGCATGATTACCAAGAGAATATCGGAATCCAAAGACAGTCCTTGGATGAAATAGCCTACACATTGGTAATAATAAGACTGCATTTGACCATGATTTTTTTCACTGCACCTGAGATGGCAAATGATTATTTCTTCATCTTTTACAAATAATCTTGGTCAAACAATGCTGTCAATGCATCAGCTTATCTCTAAAGTGGCGTAAATGCTGTGAAACCCAAGTAAACAAGGAGATAAAAAGTAACCTTAGCAGTGTCCCAAAATGGTATTTAATAAATACGCTTCAGTGTCAGAGGGGAAACTCCTCTCCAAAAAGGGGGATGAGAGTGGAAAATCACCAGTCAGAAAGACTGAAAAAGTAGAAAAAGATCAATCAATCAAGAGTAGAAACATCAATAGCATTATATTTGATACCAGTGTGGCCAAATATGTAATGTAAAAAGACCATCCACACAAATCTCTTTTCACTGTAAAATCGGGGTGAACAATTTATCTTTAAAAATTTTGAGGTAAGGTTAAAATTATTTTGATTTTTTGGATGTAGTTTCCCACTCAAATAGGTTAACAAATTTTGGGGCACTGGACCTTAGTCCTTATGGCAGAAATAGCATGCTAAAAAGGAAAACTATGTGTAACTTCTATTGAAAGCAATCTCAACCATTGGGAAAGAGCTACTGATGAAAAACGGACAAACAGTAGGAAACACAAAGCATCTTCTCAGCATCTTCAGTCTTCACTTATTCATTCTTAGGACACCTGGGGCTGGTTGCATATACCGGTATGTCATTTGTAATGGTATGAAAAATAATGGCAAGGTATGATGATCATATAATCTGCATCAGGTGCCTTGTCAGGCATCAATTATTCATGCTTCAGGTGATTCTGATTGCATGGGCAATTTAGTGTTAGACTTAGTAGGCATCACCCGTCTTGTCTTCAGTGAAACTCATGAGAGTAGAAAACTGACCAAAGTATGTACCTGGAACACTAGCCAATTACACCAGTTTTGTTTTATTGCTTTGTTGGGTTAGGCCCTTTCTGTCTGACAAGGCCATTTCAGAGCCAGAAGGATGATAGGAATTAGGGGGAGACATTGGTCTGAGCAGACACCCTAGAGAGTAGCCGGGGCTGAGCTCATCCGAATGGGCAGGCCGACCAGCCCCCCCCCCCAAGCACTACCTATCTGCACCCATCTACGGGATGCACTCCTTCAGGAGTTGGAGTAGCGGTGCTGCTCCAAGGGAGCAGCCCGCATGAGATAGAGGTGCCTGTCCAGCCAAGAGTGGGGGATGCGACATGGAGGAGGATTTCAGTATCCTGAGGATGGAAATGACAGAATGGAGGAATCACACCAGTTTGGTTTCTATATAGTGCAGAGAAAAGATGTCACCCATAGGTACCCAGTATAACTATTCTATTTTACCTACCTATTGTGAACAAGACTATCAGCACAAATTCCGTGGCAACTATGTCTTGATGGAAGAACACAACGTGGCAGGTATGTGTACGTAATGGCAAATAATAAATACGAATTAATCAAGAGAGACAACACACTTTCCTACTCGAACGCACGTGGTCAACTAGTATGTTGACGTAATATATGGCAGCAGTGCAAGTATCTCATCCGCTTCATATAGCTCTACCTTGAATTTAAATTTATAATAGTGTTTTTATATACCTTGTTTATAATATTGTTAATCGCTTTGCTATCGCATATTTTTGGTATGAAATAAACACAAAGAGTACTGAATTATTTCACTGTCAGAATGGTCAGAATAATGATTCACTGATATGCTTTCGATCAAAAGTGTTCCAATTCAAAACATACTCATATGGCCCTGTTCAAGTGTCTGCGGCCGCCGCGGCTTCCGCGGCCAAAAAGGCGGAGCTTAGCTGGCGGCCAATCAGGCGAGAGCAGCATTCTGGGTAATGCGTAGCTCTTCCTGCGGCTCCCGCGGTCGCTCGGGAGCGACCGCAGGGAACATTTATCGGGGTTACATGAGCACAGTAAATACGTATTTAGCCGCTAATTCGAATTAGGAACGCATTACCGACTCATGTAGCCACCTGCTAGTACGAATCGGCGATCCGATCCGCGGTTACATGAGCAAAGCAAATACGTATCACGATCGGATTCACCGCTAATGCGAATCAGGAGCGTACTACCGACTCATGTATCCACCTGCTAATACGAGGGCTGTTCGGGTCCCTGCAGCATAGATCTGTGCTGCGTGCGTCATACTTGGGTGACGTCAACCGCCTGGCTCCGCCCACTCTCCGCCGGCACGCCGCGGCCGAGCGTCGCCGCAGCCTATTTCAAACGCGGCGAACCGTTGCGCGGGTGGACTGGTGATTGTCGCTCAAATAACGATTAATTTGCGTTCAAATGTGGTTATTAGCAATGTGCCACCGAAAAGAGTGATAATGATACCCAAAAAACAGCATACAAACCACTTACAATAAGAAATATTGGACGGTAAACTTTAATCCGCGCCACTTTCGCCTCCTGCAGCACCAAATTCCGTGCTGCAGGAAAACGAAGCATGCTTCAGTAGGTGACGTCACACAGGCGGTGACGCAGTGGTGTGGGCGGGACTAACAGGCGACGAAGTCCTCACTGCGCATGCGTGCTGCAGCATATTTCATTTTTGCTGCGCAGCCGAACAGCCCTACGAATCGGCGGTCCGAACAAAATCCGCTGAGAAAGAGGCTTAGAAGCGAATAGGACCAAGATACGTATTACAGGAACTATTTCTTCGCAAAAAGAAACATTAAAATGCAAAATAATAGGTATTTTTTTCATTTTCTTCTTTTAAAATAATATTTTGAAAAATATGTCGGTATTTTGCCAAGTTTTCAACAATAAATATAGTGAAAACCAAATAGTAAATATCCACATAATTTCAGTTGAAACATTTTTCTGACAGCACTACAGACGAATCAAGAGAGGCAATTGCCCAATGAGTCAAAGCAAGACAACTTTATGTTTAACTTTTTTTTGTTAAGTTAATTGAGAATGTTTTGAGCAGATTAAATGCAAAAAAGACATAAGATAATGAATTTTTAATTTAGTCACCTCTATTGCTACGGAAGTGCGCCACATTTGTATGCTATTCCGTTTGTAATGCGGCATATTTACGTCTGGACAACGAGTTGCGTTGGAGAGGCCGGAAATAGTGGCGATTTCTGGACCGCAAGAATGGACCGTCATTGGAATGATTCTTTTTCAAACCGTGCACTGTTTTTAGCCGGAATTTAATAGTTACTACAAAATATTTTTGTCATTACATTTGGCTAAGAATGAATGCCATCAGGGAAGGTTTTACTGCCGCTGCATTTTGTCCAGAAACATATAGTGCTGTTATATTGCAGTTTTTGCGCTTTTGTTACAAAATATGAAGCGAACATGCATCAGGCTCTCGTCCATCCACTAAGAAGTTATTAAATATTTTGTTTTGTGTATTCCAAGAGGAGAGGAAACTATTTTATTTGTGCCTTCATTGAGAATTGAAGATCGATCATTAAATTTTCAAGGCAGTTAATCAATCAAACCAAGCATTTAGTCATTCTCGTATAGCAGTGGCTATAAGAAGAAAAGGTTGATAAATACTGAAGTTCAGTCATCTTACTTCAACTTGGCAGCAAGATCCCAGAGGATAAAGGATATAAAAAGTATACCTATCCTGTAAATCAAAGCATTTTGGTGCCTGCAAAGGCTTGCGTTATTTGTGGTGTGCTCGCGGAGTGAGGCTTTGGGCGTTTTTGTTGTGTTTATGTGGAGATTGAATATAACTGTGACCCTGTGTTTGTTTGTGTATTTACTACAGTCAAACATCACATTCACATAAAATACTCACCTAGCTCATAGGTGTACCCTGCAGAATTTGTACTTGTTGATGTCTGGAGCATGAACAAAGCACTAAAGTATCTCAATTATCATTTCCCACATTTTCTGAGCATCTAACATGGCAATACAGCAGTGCAGAGCAGCTTCAGAGAAGAAACACTTTCAATGCACAGACTGACACCAGCCACCCAATGAGCCAGTTCCTCATTTGGCTGTTTCCATGGATGCGGCTTGGCAAAGGTGAGCTAACTTGGCAACGGCTTGACGCGAGCTGTTTTTAAGTTGTTAGCAGGTAAGATTGAGTCATGGTGAGTATCTATCATATAACTGGGTGCTTCTGCTATGAGTAGATTGCAAATATGTGTGATGATTGAGGTTAGGTTAGGTTAGTCAGGGCCCTGTTTCACCAGTGATAGCAGCACGCTGCTTATACACGTGTCAAATTGGGTTTCCATGGAAACATCAACAGGCCCATTGCTCCAACACTACCACAAGTGTGACGTCAGTTCGTGCAATTGGATAGCAGCGTGGTAGCAGCATCCCGTGAAACACCGCCCTGGTCACATTTTTTATGGACACCTGGCAAATTAACTAAAAACTAGCATAACCTAATCTAACCTGACCAAACTAAACCTACACAACTACTAACTATAGGCACTAAGCACCTAAGTTCTTGTGCCTACATCTCATACCAACTCAAAATAAAGTTCCTTGCTGGAAGATAACCCTCCAGTACATTTTATAACATCCCTGTGAAGAAGACTAATACTTCTAAATCCTGAGTCACACTTCTGGCCATCCACAGAAAGAAGCGCTGAGAGCTTTGCTATTGTATATTGGACCAAAGATCATTGTCACGAATGACTATTAACACGTATTATATGATCATATCGTTGCATGGCTTGTCACATTCACAATTTTACTGAAATCCTTTTTCAAGAAATGCAAAGTTTCATTTGCCAGACACTTGAGTAATGCACATTACCATCTGCATAGCAAAGTAAAGCTGCCTGAGTTCACTCATTCTAGATTTTTTCACTTCATAGTCAGCGCTTCATAGTTATAATCTTGCTGTTATAAGTTATAATTAATTATTCATCCCAATACATCAATAGACAATATGCAATCATCATCAGCAAACATTTTCTGGCTTGATACTGCTCGGCGTACTCTTCAGTATTGATCTCCTGCAATAATATGGCTTGTTTTTAGCCAATAAGCTCTTTTAATTTTACTTTTATTGCTGATAAGTGAGCCAGATCAACCTGCGTTTATCAACCAACATTTCATAACTTCAACTTGATCTTGCTCAGGACGATCAGGACCTCTCTTAGCCTCCTCCTGGATACTTGGGATTGTTTTCAGTCAACATGCTTCTTTAATATGCTATAAGTCAATCACAAGAGATTTAAGACATCCAACAAAACGTACACGAGTACACGAGTACGAAAACCTCCAGATGAACTCGAAAAAGGCCTTGGAACAGAGCCAAGTGGTGCTCCGTTTGTTTGTTTACAATAATAGTAGTACTGATGTATTGTTTTAGGACTCTAACGTTCGGCTTATAAAAATTGAAACATTTTTACAAAATCTGTAAGGCAAGTAATATTTCTCTGAAAGAACTAAAATATTCAAAAGCCAAACACTATGAAATACAGGAATCGGAGCGAAAAAGTAACCCAAAAAACCAGCCTAATCACCGACTCCTAAAACTGCGACAAAATCAGCACTTTTCCCCGCAACTCGTTGTCCAGACGTAAATATGCTGTAATGCGCATCGGGCCGAGAGCCAAACTAGATCCGTTTGACGTCACTGATACGAATTTGCTCATGTAGTCGGTGCACTGAATGCGTTCTTGGGGAGCTGATGCGAATTAGCGTAGTGCGTATTTGGAACGGATCGCTCATGTAACCGAAACGTCCGAGGCACACGATTCGGGCCGTATTTCACAAGAACTATTCTTTGCTGACTGGAAGCTTGACTGGAAGCGTCAAAATGCAAAATACTTAACAATTTTTTTTATTGGCTGCTTCGTAGAAAATAGCAAAAAAATGTTGGTATTTTGGTTTAGTCTTTGCATGTGAAATAAAATGAATGAAATATTTTGAAAGATAATTTTTTCTGACCACCCTGCTGTCGCTGCATGGCGAATCAGTGCCCACTGACTTAAAACAAGAGAACTTTGTTTTCATTTTTTGATTTCATGTTAATTTTAAATGTTTTTGAGCCTATCAAATGATATAAGTATTTAAAATTTAGCTCAGTCGTCCCGGTAAATGCCGCAACTGCGCCATGACTGTACGCTAATCCTATTCCGTTTGTGATGCGAATTACCGGCCGTCGAGGAGTCAGCCCGGGTGAGCCAAACAAGATCCGTTTGACGTAGATAAAACGAATTAGTCTCATGTAACCGGTGCCGTAGATCCGTTTGTGGGGAGCTGATGCGCATTAGCGTAGTGCGTATTTGGAACGGATCGCTCATGTAACCCCGGTAATTGACCTCTATAGTAACCTAGACGGGCGACTGCCGCGCCGCGGCCGGCACGGAATCGTTCCCGCATGGGGGCGCAGTGGCGCCACCTGCAAGTGGTCAGAAGTTCCCGGCCCCTATAGACGGTCTATGTGAAGTGGGTAACTTTTGAAGCTGATTTTTAAGAAAGATACAGCCTGCGGATAGCTGAAAAGGATTGCTATGTAACTGAACATGCTTTCTCAAGGTGTGATGTGCTCGATTGCGAACAGGATGGCTCGGGCCGTGCAATAAAGTGCATTGTTTCAAATGACCCGGACGCGCTGGCGGTACAAAGCATACCGAAACGTGGATCGTGCCTACCTGCCGTAGGTAAGGCCATACGGGACGAAGAACGTACCCGCTTCCTACTCAGGTGGCAAAAGATGATCAATTAGCAAACGAAGGGGGAGGGGTCCGTTCGACCCCCGCCCTATTCGGGCGAGGGTTAACCCTCGCCCGCATAGGTGGGGTCGAACGGACCCCACCTCAGTTTTCGCGAATAACTCTCGTAAAAAGCGGCCGATCGCGACGAAACTTTCAGTACCCTCGCGATAATCAATTATACACCTGCCCTGAAAGTTTCATGACCCTGACCCAAATGACCTTTGACCTGTGACCTACTTTTCAAGACCATGTTTGGCCGGAATCGCAATTCGGCACATGGCTGGCATTAACCGCGCGTTAGCAGTCTTTTCGTGATTTCAAGCGTTTAAACATGTGATATGATGTTGCTCCCGTGCATTAGGGTGGGTGTCAAGGTCACTTGAAGGTAAGGTCATGTCAGGTCATCGACCTTTGATGACCTCGGT